TTTGCACATCACTTATATAAGCTATTTGCTCCAATGCTTAGCTGTCTGCCACACCTCGCCAGATTATCGGTGACCGAAACTGGCAGCTATGACCGCTGCATGACAAGTACACGGTTTTTTACAGTTGCGACTGCTGCTGCTGATGATGATGAAAGAGAGAGCTAGTTGAACTTAAATAATACGCTATCGTACTCAAGTGGGGCTTGATTATGCTTACATTACTGTTCATTTGGCTGTTTATAGTAAAAAAAAACAACGCTTCATTGAGCCGTAGTAACTCGGCAGGTGGGTTTTGGAGTAAGCCTGGGTAACTTGGCCGTCTAACGGGTTTCACTGTAGCAATGAACTTCAGCAAAACGGCTAGATTTGAATACCTCATTCATTGTTAACTTGTGCGTTTGATATGCACTACTTCTTGTGTCGCTTTTATATTACAGATGCCTTATTGTCAACAGTGAGGTTATTCCCATAAGCTTTCGGATGAAGAAAAACGGTGCATTTTGAATATGGAACGCCTGCTACCATTACTGGAAATGGGATTCAGTTTGGATGATCTGCGTGTTGCTCTGAACCGGGGATGCCAAACTGCTGAAGACGCCGTGGCCTACTTGACTGGAGACACGGACACGGCTGAATTAGGCGGTAGTTCTGCTAACCTAGTTCTTGGTCCGGTATCACATTCTGAATCCAGTGAGGACCTCATAACTTTCTACCAAAGAGTATTGTTTACCATTATTTCCGCCTACTATTAACTAATCCGACAGATTTCTTGATCTTTGTGGTCGTTTGGTTGCCTGGTAGTATCATTGCAGAGTTTCGAAAAAGGATCGGACAGGTCCATGCCATATGCTTGCAGCATACGACGTCGTTTTGACAGTGTGGATTAACACAGAATAACCCGAGGATAACTTTCGCAAACCAATGTTTGCTGTTTTGTTGTATGGTTGTCGAACTTGGTCAGAACTGAAACGTCTCTAGGTCTTCGACAACCGTTGTCTAGATGGCGAGATGGCGCAAGTGGTTAGAGTGCAAATTTACTGACCGCATGGTCTGGGGTTCGAACCCGACCTCAGCCTCTCGACTTCCCTTGTCTAGACTTGGTCTACCTGGCAATATCCCAGACATCGTGCTTCCTTCAGTTGGCTTGGCAGCTAGGCACCGGAAGGGTGCTACAGCTGAACGTTTTTTGTCTAGAAACATGGCTCGCTTAGGTTGTTGTTTGCCAATCCGTAATGAGGCAATTGGAGATTCAGGGCTTCTGTCGAAGAATATGTCCCGCACCAGAAGCTGCGTTGGTTAGGCCATGCGCTACGCATGCCGAAGAGTGTTTTTTTCGTTCCCAATTAAGAGGGATATGAAATAGTCCCGGAAAAGTCTGGATATGGATACTGTCTGTGATGCTCGCTTTCCACGTTGGGGACCGCGTGGTCCCCACTGTTCCTGATTAGAGATGCTGCCAATCGATATCAGCGTCGCTCTTGTTGTCAGTTTCTATTTATGTTGGTTGTATAATTGTCCGGAAGTTTAGGCACCTTCGATTGGTCGTGTTAGGCTTACGCTAAGTCCCTTCCCCATCCTCTTTCATTCTTTTATCTACGATGGGGCGAGATGGCCCAAGTGGTTAGAGTGTGAATTTACTGAATCCAACCTCCGCCTCTCGACCTCTCCTGTTTAAGTCTAGGCAAACTGGCAGTATCCCAGCCCTCTTCCTCCGGGTGGCATGGCAGCTAGGTACCAGAAGGGTGTTCAAGCTAAACGTTTTTTTTCACAATAAGGCCTTTAAATAAATCATGGTTGTACGCCAGCAAAGCGTCAGTGTTAACACTGATGTTGTGGCATCAATGATGATGATGATCTTGCCGGGTGCTTACCTTACCGCGACTTCTTCATAGATCTCATGTTCCATTTTGTAGAGAAAGACGGTCGGCAACCTACCCGACCATTATCTGTCCACCCATCGCCTGTTATTTTTTGTTCATGCATGTACGAGATCGTCCAGTTGTTAGAGCGCGAATTTACTGACCGAAAGGTCCGTGATTCAAACTCGACTTCAGCATCTCGATTTCTCTTGTCTAGGCTTGTGCAATCTGACAGTATCCCAGCCCTCGTGCTTCCTTCGGGTGGCTTGGCAGTTTGACACCGAAAGGGTGTTACAGGTGAACGATTATTACTATTATTCATTTTCAGTGTTTGGACGCCCAACTGCGTTCCCTGTTGGCCCCACCCATTTGGATTGGCCTGGCTCCGAAACTCTGGACATCGTGCATCAGACAAATGATGCACATCGACCTACACTTGTCCCCGAGGAGGTGGTTTCCAGGCATGCACCGATAAGTGAGGATGCATACACATTTCAACGTGAGGAGGCTAAGAGAACCGCTGAGAGGATCAGAAACGAACGTATGGCTCGGAACCGAATCAAAGCGCAGCTGTTAGCTGAGATGAAGGCTGATCGTGAGGAAAAGCGGTAAGCGTGTGTACGATTTGCCTAACCTCAGCAACCGTTTAGGGACGTCATTTCGAATTTTGTGTTTCGGGTGCGTATTTCCGTCCCTATGTTAATACTTTTGAGATCCATTTTAGTTAACTTGAAATCTGCACACAGCTGTGGGTGTCAAAGTGATCGCCTATTTACTGACAAACCGTACGTGCATGATACGAAGCAATAGCGATGTAAGAAAAAGCATGTGTAGAATCACAATTACTAAGTCTCAAACAACCTGAGGTGTTCATAAATACTATTGCTAATTCTTGAGAAGCAATCTACATCAAGTGACAACCGTTCTCCCTTTCTTTCGGTGTCCTAAGCGTCGTGCGTACTCTTTGGTGCCCACCAGAATTCACCGCATTTGTCCACTTCATACGAAGTGAAAACAGTGTACTTATACACTAAATGTACTCATTTAAACACCAATTTGGTTTTCAGGGGAGTCTTAGCTGAATCCTGTGTGAACTTCGTTCATGATATGCTTCAGCTTGGATTTAGTTGAGTTTCACATGAAAACCGAATTCGAGGTGAATTTTGTACAGTTGCGGTTGAAGCAGAAATCGTTCACCTGTAAGAAACGCCCTTCCGGTGTCCATCTGCCATGCCACCCGAAGGAATCATGAGGGCTGTGATACTGCCAAGTTGCCTAAGCCTAGACAGAAGCAGTTGAGATGCAGAGTTGGGTCCGAACCACACTTTCCGCTCACTAATTTCACTCCTTAACCATTGGGCCATCTCGAGCTCGGTTCAAGTAGAGTCTCAAGTTGACGGAAACTCAGGGACTGGGCCTACCTGAAAATCGAATTGTGCAGCTGTAGCGCCTTTCTGGCGCCTAGCTGCCATGCCACCCGAAGGAAGCACGAGGTCTGGGATGTTGCCAGGTTGACCAAGCCTAGATAGGGGAAGCCGAGAAGCAGAGGTCGGGTTCGAACCACGGACCTTCCGGTCAGTAAATTCGCGATCTAACCACTTCAGCCATCTGGCCTACCTGATGAGCCCTAAAGAGGGCGCGACCGGTTGTGGGCTGTCAAAGTTTTCAGCGACTTTGTTAGTAGTTTCCTTTAGTCGATCTACTCGCGTCTCCGGTCCCGTTATGATCCTTCCATTCATGTTTGCCATCCCACCTAGCCGCCAACAGTATGTACCTGCTCCAACCGAAACGTCTACGCTATCACAGGCAGCAATATCATGTGCACCACAAAGCTCTGGTCGGATACGAATTCGGGTTAGTATGTGAATTGCTGATCGTTTTTCATGTTACTCAGTTTGTTTGCTGTTGGTTGAATCACTTTTACCAGCTATTCAAGTTTAATCCTGTTTTTCTGTCGACACTCTGTCATTCTATCGATTTTGACGCAGTATATTTTGTCACGTGCTTGTGATTTATACTCAAAGGATTAGGTCGCTCAGTCCGATGACATGGCTGAATCTACCTGATTTGATTCGATAGCCTTCTGTAAATGACCTGGAGGAATTCGGTGCGGTTGATTGGACGGGGGACTTCAACGTGCTAACGCTGCTTAATCGCTTTCTGTTACCAGTTCTAATGCTAGGAGACAATAAATGCCGGACGGATTTTGACTGTCGTTCACCCACCACGCTTAGCTGCCCTCTAGCATCAGAAGGAACACATTCCATAGTTTTTGGTGTTTTTGATGGTGATGATGATGATGATTTTGGTGGGGAGCGCGTAGAAGTCCGGTAACCACAACAGCTGGCGTTAGCCCTAACCCGTAGGTACTGGTTGTCTTACTTGTCACTTCAGTCTGTATCCAGCCATTCGTTATATTCCAAACGGCGGATAGCTTGTTCAACCGAGTCGGGGTTCCACGGTACTATGTGCACTGAGATTCAAACCGTTGGTCAACGCCTAACCAGAGTTAGGATGCCCACAACCATACCTGTGGCTCACTCACTTGGCCACACAACATATGTTTGTTCCTAAGAGGGCACCGTAATGCACACCAGCTACTGTGTCATTATGGCTTTCGGGCGTTTTGGTTTGTAGTGCTATCAAACGGACTTTCTTACGAATCAAACTGAAGTCCGCACATGGCTGAGGTGCCCGGTTAGGACCGGATTCAAAACTGCCCACCTCCTGCCACGAGGTACATGGCAGGTGACTATTCACATGCAAGTTAGCCACAAAGAAGTCGGTCGCTGCCAGTCTCGCAACAGTGGAACAGATTTGTACTTCACAGCAATTGTCAGATATGATAATTTCATTCCACTCATCGTTTGACGGGAATTCGCCATCCGATTCGAGTACATCTAGTGTTGTTTGCGAGGCTAGCCAAGTTTTTTGGTAAATTTACTGAAAAAACCCTTCACGGGGCAATTCCGAGGCACGCCGTCTATTTGTATCTTCCACCGCGAGTTCCAAATTTAGAAAGATGGCCTCTTTACTGAGGATGACTGTTTGTCCTTAGTTTAGGACTGTTATGCCTTATCTCACTACCTGTCACCGTGGAACGTTGTCGTACGTAACCATACTTTTTTATTCGTCAACTAAATGGATGCAACCACACAGGTTCATCCGGCTGGCTCTTCCAACACTCCCGTCACCCTGGAGTTCCCCTCCTCGGCCGTCTATGGGGACCTTCTTTCGAATCTACAAGACCTCGTACTCCCTGCTAACCCACCATCTTCCGTCCATTCGACCGCTACTCGCACGAATTCACCTGCATTGTCCGCATTGCAACACCATTTGACGTCGATTCGGGTGACAGATCAATGTTTTCAACTTATCACGACGAACTGGCCGCGACAAACTCTGCCACGCTGTACCACTTTGAACCTTGAAGATGCTCATGATTTGAACGCTTGCCTCACCCAATCCCTTGTCAGTCTTGGGCTGTCGGATGGGAGCGGCGTGAGTGTGCGTCACGGTGAGTACTGGCTGCTTTCCATGCACTTCATAACACTTTTTTAAACATTTTTACGGTTTTGCTTTTCGACTGCATGACGTTAAACTCTGTGTTGTACTTATGCCAGATGTCAGTCGATTATGAGGGACCATAACTCTGCAAATGATTGATTAGTTCGTCCACTTCATCCATTGTTACTGGCTTCTGTTGTAGCTGATGGCTCTCTGTCCTCCTGCAGTCCTGCTTCTTCACATATTTACTAAATTAGGCTTAGTGAACAACAGTTGGTGTCTAGCGAGCTGACTGTTTCCTGGATACCGTTGGTCCAAACTGCAGCCTTTGAGTGGTTATTCTTTTGAACCCGGACGATTGCACGACCCGATACGAAGAACGTAATTGGGTTAGTTCCTTCCCAACTGGCAACTTCCGCGATTTCCCACATACTTCCATCAGTGGTGTTTGAATTGGCTGACAGAAATGGCAAAATATGCCTGGCGAGCCACATAGGTGCGTGAAAGGTTCGCACTCTATGTGTAGAACCTTTGCCCGCTGTCTTTGTCGTATGCCTACCTATTCTGTCAGCGAATAACCACTCTGGAACTAGAATTTACGGCGCTGAGAACCCCTTGTATAACATTTAAAAGGGTTCACAGCCTAAATATGGTTGTCTTCTACAGGACCTTCTCCACTGGGGCTCGTCAGACACGCACGTGCATGCCAGAAGTCACGAAACTCTTCGGATGGCATTGTGATTCGAAATGCTCAAGTACGGCTAGCGAGTCGTCGTCATTTCTGTTTCTCTTTGATAGACTCGTTCATCATACCACTCAACATCTCACTATGCCTTTCACGTCCCAGCTCCGGAACGACCTACCTATCTGTGATTAACGGTGAATTGGTGTTGGACGGTTGTGGAAAGAATCTCGGATGAGCTTGATTGCTCAAATTCCGACAACGGACTGGCACTTTAGTATCATTTGCAGTAGGCTGTTGCACTCCCTGCCCGCTTGACTTGAAACAAAAGGATTGGGTTCGTATCCCACCTAATGCACACCTCGTACACACACGAAATCGGGGGTTCCGGTGGCCAGGCTTCACGCCGAAGTTTTGTGTAAATATGCGGCATTGTTGTGCGCAGACGTTGACATTGCATAACGCTTACTAGCTATGGTGCGAGTAAGGAGGCTCGTACCATATTGTTTTGACGTAACACACTTCCAATAGGGTGGCACGCGAAGCCCTGACCCCTTGGAGAATCAAGCGGGATTTCGACCGGGTAGAGGCCGCGTTGACCTCATGTTCACACTCTGTCAGGTGTTAGAGCAACGTCATATGTACAGATGACCCACAATCTCGGTATTCATTGACTTCAAGGGTGCTTTCGATTCTGTCGACCGCGACATCAGTGTCAACACTGATGTTGCTCTCTTTGATGATGCTGATAGGGTCGCTGAGAATCCTTTGACAGCCTACGACTGGGTTTGCTCCCCTTGGGACTTATCAGGTGGGTACAGTCCCCGAATTCTTGTCAACCTTGTGTCCTACTTGAGACAGCGCAGTGGTTAGAGCGTGAATCTACTGATCGGAAGGCCGTTGGTTCGAATCCGACCTCCGCTTCTGGACTTCCCCAGTCTAGACTCGGGCAACCTGGCAGTATCCCGGCCCTCATACTCCCTTCCGGTTGCACGGCAGTTAGGCACCGAAAGGATGCTACAGCTGAACGCTTTAATATTTTTTTCTACTGAAACCTAAATTGGACAGATTTTGACCAATACTCTTACTCGAAAACAAATTTAGTTTTGACGGGAGACTCATCTGGAACTCAGCTGAATCTCTCGTTTGTGATAGACCGCTTCAGCTAAATGTGTTGCCTCAGTCGGCCTCATGTTTCATTTGGCACGATATTCCAGAAAGGTTGTTGTTTAGACACAACACACTACTCACAAGCCTACTGAAACCACCTCGACATCCCACAACTGGTTTCGCACATTCACTTGAAGGAGGCGATCATAAACGAGAGTCTCAGCTGGATTCACTCGAGCCTCCTGTCAAAACCATATTCATGTGCAAATGAAAGCATTTGTTGAGGCTCTGGTGCCGCATTAAACACGCAAATTGATTTACACTTATCCTCCACGGGACTTTTTTACCCAAGTATCAGCTAACTGTCCATTCGAGGAGGCCGTTGTCGCCGAACAAACTCACACGGTGTCCCATCCATCTACTGAAAATCCGGCTGCCGACCTCCTACCTAATGATCCCAGTCGAGACGCTGACTCGGAGCCTGATACACCTCCACCGGGCAACGAATTCTCTTTGGCATTCCCACCTGGTGGACAACAACTGGTCCCACAGCCTCCTGGAGGGTATATGCCACGCAGCGGACGAACACTGATGGAAAATCTTCGTGAGTGTTGTTGCCAGACTTTCTTGATGCCTCATGTACCACAATTATTCCACTCGTCACGGTTCTTGAGCAAAAGTCTTCTGGTTGTCACCTGTGACTTCCGTTATTCTGCGGTAATTTTATCTTGATTCACCCACGGTTACCAGATTGTTTACTTCCTTCTGAGGTTAATGTGTCCCCCCTCACACAAACGGACATGCCCCTTAGTGGCTTCCGATCATGTTGAAGAGAATAAAGGGTCGATTCAGTTTTAAGGTATTCAGAGAACCAATCCACGGGAGTTCTTATGACTAGCCGACTTGATCAGTGTTGTATGTCGGTCTGAAGTTCCTATTTGTTGCTTCATGGGGATGACTAACATTTACGATAGAATTGGTTAGGGGGAATGATCTTCATGTTGAAACCGGATTTTGCGGCCTTGCTTTTTCAGTCTAGGACACCTGAATGGATTATTTCTTTTGGGGGTCATTCACAGATTTTGTTCGCCCGTTTTCGTCGAGGAGTTCCGGGACAATTGATTTGGGGTTGGGGGTAGTTAAGCGGATGTAAGTCCGCTTGGATCTTGTACTTTTAAACCCAGAGCATTTCGTTGATAACTGCACACCACCTCGTGTCATCTCGGTTGACCTGAAACCTCTCGCCAGTTCTATTCTATTTACGCTGGGATGCTTGGCGATTTCCACCGCCTCGGCTGCCAGTCTCTTCGGTGTTAAGCTTAAACCGCGTCTCAGAATGTCCACATTTTCCAAATCTATCCTATGCCCAGTGTCCAATGCATGCCCTACCATTGCTGAATCTTTGACTGTCGCCCGGTATTCATCTGCGTTTCTGTTAATGATGTCTGTTAATGCATTGCTTATGCTCACCGATTCTGGTGTGCAATTTCCTGGCTGTCTGACCTACGTATATCTTTATACAGTCGTTGCATCCCATTTTGTGTACACAGTTCCTAGTCCTATCAACCGGAAGGCGATCCTTCATCTGCACCAACACCAAGCTCGCACTGTTCGAACCATCGTGGACAATGATGAGTGGTATCTTTCTAACTGAACAGTACTCAACATGGTAGCATTGTATGAATGTACTCACTCATATTTGTACTTTTCAGGTCACCGGGCTGCAGTACTCGATGCGGAATTTCATCAGCGTGCCATGTCCAATCCATGTGGGGAAGAGGACGTGTCAGTCTCAGAATCTCATTGGGGCTCTCCGCAGCGGTTAGAAGACCTAACCTTTCGTCGTCTACTTGAACTCCTTGTGTACTACTTACAACGGCTTACTCGTGGGAGCCAGGGATTGGATGATCCCGGTTCGGATCAACATAAAATTGACGAAGGAAGTTTGCTCTACTATGCAATCAACTCAATGAGTGGACCATGGCCGGAACGGTTGGGTCAGAAACTGGTTGGCGAGCTGCGTGAACAATCCCTCTTCAATATCAGAACGGCCTCCCTTCTCAGGAAGTAGGTGGTTGTCGGTTATCCGACTGCTTTTCTTTTGCAGTTTGCGTACACTTGTAACTCTGAGGAACGGCTCCCTCCACACAGTGGACAGGTTATTCTCACAACACCTTCTTTTCACACCATGAAGAGCCAATATCTTTAGAAAAAAGGTGGTGGTCTCTGAGGTGTTCTTTGTCGAGAGTAACGACTGTGTTTCAGGTGTTTGTACTTCCGCCAGTTCACGCACTCAATATTGTCATCCTACCTGTTTTCAGTCTCTTCTGTAGCCCACTTTAGCGCTTTAATAGCGATCAAATCGGGGTTCGTTTGCACTTTTGAGTGGATCCCGTCATACCAACCATTTTAGTAACGACTTTTTGTGGTGATAACCATGGTGCATTTCCTCTTTGTTTCCCTTTGCTTTCCGCAATCGCACCAGTTGTGTTACAAGCCTCAACTTGAACTACTACCCTCTTGTGACTACCGAGTTGATCACCTGTCTCGTGTCGAAATGGCCACATCTGACGGAATTGCAATTGAACGGTCTACAGACGGGCCAGATTCAACCGGAAATTGTGGACCAACTTGGAGGTAGGTGAATCTCACTAGGTGCAAAGTCTCACTGTCCTGCTAACCTGTTTCCTACTTATCAGTGTTTGCATGCACCACCGACTAGTGTTCACATCGTGAGGATTTGATGTTGGGAATTCTTCGCCAACGTTCAAGAGTTTATCCTTGGTTATGATGCACACATCTTGAGGCTGACAGCCTATTTCTCTCCCTTATTTTTAGCGCTACGGAACCTCCGCCTCCTCAGTTTGAACGGATTGAGCAGCGTTTGTGACCGAAACCTGGGGACTCTTATCAGTAAGTTCTGTTTGGCCCCTTTGGACGTGACACGGCTTTTCTGTGAGTGTCAACTGATAGGTAATGAAATATGAACCACCTGTAGGATCTTTCCATGTGGGTCGCTTTTCAGGTGTTCTTTTGCGACAGTAGAGTTATCCTTCTTTCGAAAAGTTAACTTGTGATCGACTTAACTACTGTGTCCACTGATTCTCTTTCTTTCGATTGATCTGCTCACAAAAGCTGTCTGTTTTATGTGGCCTCCAAATCAAGTAGCCCGCTCGAGTTAGCTCCGGGCAACTTCTACCTGTTCGGTGTCCGACTGCGTTAAGCAGGTGCACTTATAGTGAATGTTGTTTCCATGAGATTGAATCGGCACAGATGACACGAGGCTTGAAATGCGAGCAAATGAACACGTGTCGTATCAGCTGACCCTAATCCAACGCTGGTCTTTGACTCAGGGTCAATTCGTCGATTGCTCGGTCTCTAATCGACACAGGTGACAGAGTTCAACTCAAAACATCATTCCGGCTTAAGAGCACGTAGTAGATCACCGAGGTCGAAGTTCCTTGAGATCATATTGGTTAGTCGTTTCAATTCTGCCCAACGCGTTCAAAAAGACCTGTCACGTTGCTTTATAACGTATGTAGTATGTATGTTCTTATGCCGTCTTCACATTTTGCTACAGAATAGAGTGTACGTGCAGTAACGGTATTTTCCTCAGCTCAGTTCCCGGTCTGAACCTCCCAAGCTGGCGCTCACGTCAAAGCGACCAACAAAGGTGCGCAAGGTATATTAACGCCCAAAACGAAGTCAGGAACACTTGTACAGCGCTTCACATATATAGCATAGGCGGCAATAACTTTTTGGAAATTCTGACGTGCTCTGGATGTGGCATTGGCAACCGGCATTCGGCCAATACTGGCTCATGATTGGCTGTTTGGTTCAGACTTTCGACCAATCAGATCTCGTCTTGATGCCGGACCGGTAAGCGTCCCGAATTCTTGGCCAATCTTGCGTGGGATGGACCTCTCGGCCGTATCAGCACCTGAGTGCGAGCGGTAAAGAGCGGATCAGAGTGCTTCAAAATTAATTGCTTGTGGTTAGCTTTTCTGAAGTCGCCTATCTCTGCTCACGATGAAATGGAACTAGAAAACTGCAGCACCTGTTTGAATTTCCAATAGACGGGCATTTCAACATGCACCGGAATTACTGAATTCGAAGAGATTTAACACTGGATAACTGAGATGGTTAGTTTCGTCAGTTCTCCCGTCCAAAATGTGCTATGGCGTCGGATGCATGTGTGGACTGTTAAGTGATTGAGGACGGTTTAACTTTTCATGCCCTAAAGTTTTTGGTAGCGTGAGAAGGCATGGGAATTTTAATGGTGATTTTGTAGTATAAGCGAAACCACTCTGTGCTGGAAAGCGAAGGAACGCTGTACGGTTGCTTCATTCTTGTTGGATATCATCAAAACTGCACACCAAGTGAAATTCGAGGCAGTTTCAAACCCTCGACCTCTCGGCTAGTAGTTTGAAGACGTAGCTATTCGGCCACTGGGGGCAAGATGGCCCAAGTGGTTAGAGCGCGAATTTACTGACCAGAAGGTCCGTGATTCGAGGCTGACCTGTGCCTCTCGACCTCCCCTGTCTAGGCTTGGGCAGTCTGGCAGTATCCCAGCCCTCGTGCAGTCTTCGGGTGGCATGGCAGGTAGGCACCGAAAGGGTGCTACAGCTGAACGAATCTTTTTTGGTGTGAGGTGGTCGGTGGCTTCTTTAAATTTTCTTGTCGATTTCTTACATGCTCGGTTGATTCGACTAAACCGCACGAGTTTACAATACTGAGCTCCGCTCCTAGACGTGCCGCCAATAATTCTGACGAAATAATAATCGAAAAAGCGCTCTGTCTAAAGTGATCGGATTCTTTCGTCAACTCATTGAAAGAGCTCGATATAATCATGCGTAGAAAGGACGCATTGTTTAAGTAGTTGGACACAAGGTCGCATAAAATAATGCTTGGCGGAAATCACTTACCTTCATGTAAAGATCACCCTCAAACAAGACCATTTCTGGTGTTCTACATAGTTTTTGGTGGGTGGGGGCGGAATTTCTTGATCAGGCTATGTTTGCAACGTTACCGGTTACTGAGACTCATCCCAGGGACTTTTTAAAAGTGATGACAGTTCAAACAACGATCTTTTTTTACTGGTTTTCCCCTTCATCCCTAGTTTTCATGAAAAGTACTCTGTGGAGGAAATGGTCCCGTGATAGTTAAGGTAGATATCCTCACCAGTCTGTCCATCTCGGATGATATCTTTCCGACGCAGCATCGATAACCTAGATCCAGACAATGCCTCCGTACTTGCCACGCTTTACCCACAGGACAGTCCGAGTAGTACATGAGCGTTGCAAGCTCTGTCCATAGCAAACATGTTGATACAGCGACATCGCCACGAGTGTCAGTGCGGGTTTTTTTTCGAACTATAAGCTGGTTCCGTCTTATAGGTTTGGATGGATACCATGGGGGATAAGTTTATTCACCGCATCGACTATTCCATCAAAGAGTAAGTGTCATTTTGTTACACCCCCTCCCATCCGCCACACTTTGGCTTCCAGATCTGCCGGAACTACGCATACTTCGCGTTGCCGGGACAAATGTAACGGACGCCGGCTGGATCCATATGGCGGCGTCTCCTGTTACTAGTAGTCGACCGCTCGCTGAACTGGATGCCTCCGGATTGCGCAACAATTTAACCAGTCGAGGTTTGGAAGCCATCGTACAGCTGTTTCCCAACTTGCATCGTCTTACGATAGCGGCTAGCGAGGTGAGTTAAAGAATACCTTATAAGTCCTCTGTTAACACAAGAGGGGGTGAGATGGCCTAAGTAGATAGAGCACGAATTTACTGACCAGAAGGTCCGTGGTTCGAACCTGACACCTATGCCTCTCAACTTCCCCTGTCTAGGCTTGGGCAACCTGGCAATATCCCACCAGCCCTCGTGCTTCCTTCGGGTGGCATGGCAGGTAGGCACCGAAAGGGTGCTACAGCTGAACGACTTTTAACGCAACAACTGAATAAGGGTTTGACAGCCACTTTCGAAGCGCGCACTAGCAGTCAAACTCGAGTCACCTAGTAGCAATTTCACTGGGATACCGAGCTTGAATCCTTTATTTTACCGCCCCATTCCAGGTTTACTGAATAATATAACCGTTCAGCTGTAGCTGCTATGCCAACGGAAGGAGACCTATCCCAGCTGCCCAAGCCTAGACAGGAGTAGTCGAGATGCTGAGGTTGGGTTCGAACCACAGATCTTGCGGTCCGTAAGCCAGCACCCTAACCACTGAGCTATCTCGAGCCCGCATCCAAATGTCACGTGATTCCTAATCCATGCGTTTCTCTCTTTCCAACCCGATTAGATCACCACCGATCTACCGGATGCGCCGACGTGGTCTGCAGATCCTTTGACCCTTCTCACCAACTTGGACGTGTCTGAATGTACACGGCTAGTTGCCCTGCCGATGGTATTATTGCCCCCACCGGCACCAAGCAGAACAAAGGGATTGCGGATTTTGAAATTACATCAATGCTTGTCACTGGATTTGTCACGCGTACTTGATCAACTCAGAGGCAAGTCAAAACCTACCTACCATGGGTCCTTTCTATCCTCAGTTGGTAACCTGTGCACTTGACTTCTGCCTGTTTCGTGTGTGGCGCTGGTTTGTGCAGAATCCGGGGTAGCGTGGTGGATCGTACACAGCGGGTAATTCCGATTGTAGGCGAGGGAGTACTACATTCGAGACATTAGACAGACTGGTGACAGATTAATGTTGACACGGACGGTAGAAACATGACAAGCGGTGTTTGAGACAAATCAGACTCCAGGTCGGGCCAGTCGTGGATACGATCAGCAAAAGCCACCGTGGAACTGTGTTTTTCGCACGGCGCAGGATTTCATGAGGCATCGTCAGAACCAGGGGCTAAGTAGGATAACCCGTGGTAAGTGACTGTTCGCGGGGAAATACGCGAATTGTCCGTAGTTGCGTAGGGAATTGCGGTAAACGTGAATCTGTGCTTGTGATTTTGCAGTCCAGCTTTGAGTCAAGCAAAAGCAAACTAAGCGAAAGATGTGTTTCATTTCCCCTAGGGGATGGATGACCATCCTTCCCTCTGTGTCACTAGATTGATCGTCAACACGAGTTTCACTTTCCATTGTTTTCTCTATTCATTCGTCCTGCTGTGGATAAGGAGTCACGTACTCGCACTCTCTTACTGTCAGTCAGCGCTGTGTGGCTGGTTGGCGGTGCATCTCTTCAACGTTTTGCAAACTGCAGTCTTCTATCTCCTGGATCCCTTAAATAGTCCAAATTGATCCCATTCAGCTTCTCTCTTTGAGTATAATACCACAAAACAATCTCTACGTAACTGATGCGCGCGATTGAGAACGGTTCAATGACTGTTCGCTTTGGTTCGGAGCAAATGGCCGATAGTTTACGCACAGAATAATGAGACTGACAGACGGGCTAACTGCAATGCATCATTCGACGGGCGGTGAACGAAGGGCTGTAAGGGAAAAAGATACTGCCCGATTACCTCGTCCGAAGGACGGGGGTTGGTTGGTGTCCAGAGGCCAGCCGCCCCTAACAACCGAACATCCCATCATTCGGACGATGTGTCACGACGGGCCAAACGAGGGCATGTCCTGATTGGTCAGAATGCCAGCCAATCCGAGTCAAGCACCCTTGACTCGATGCTTCTCGCCCCCTCACGGAGATTCTGGCACGACCTTGTGGAACACTCTGACTACCCTATAAATACAGTTGTAATAATTTTCCTTTGTCTCCATAAAGGGCTGTGTAGAGCTATCGCGCCTTTTGATACACCATAGTGGGCGGAGCATGAAAGCCAAGGGACCGATACAGAGTTGCAAGATCGTCAACAACTCACAACAGTTGGGGAACTCCACTTTGAACTTTTGACTCAGAGGCCGTGGGAAGCTGTGAGGTTTTGTTTCGGGACCACGCCCCCCAGCCTGTAGTTTAAAAGTCTGAACCTTTTGAGACGGGAACTAGAAAACTGCAACTAAATAGGTAAATGGGTCGCCGAATTGAGACTTGATTTTCCGTGTTTTTTAGTTAGCTAAATTGTGTTTCTCCTGCACATCAAGTGGGCTTTGTCTCAGATACGGTGTTCTATCCGTTCCGTCCGTTCCCTCTCTAGTATACCCATATTCATGTAATTCAGAAACACCCTGAAAAATATCAACACCTCTCACGTAAGACGGTGTGTGCTTTTTTTCAAAGTTATGATAGGAATGCTGTTCAAATTTAACCAGATTTCCGAGTTTGGGTACGTAAAATTTGTTTTTTATTGCCGAATATGAGCCAGGAACTGGCGAAACTTGTTGGAAAAGCGATAATTACTTTACCTAAAGTCATGAAAAGCCACGTTGTGGTTGAAAGTATTGGTTTGGACAAAACGAGTGTCCTGAATGGAACAAATGAACGTGGAAAGATGAATCCCTGGAAGCAGTACAATTTTGCGATTACGTTGGCTGCAAATGAGGTTAGAGAGGGTCACTGTTGCGGTCGATCAGCGGCAAACTAGACTGATTTATTAAACTAAACTTGCGGAATAAGCAAGCTACTATTTGAGAAGGCATAGGACGGAAATGGTCAATGAGGGTCGCCAAACCACCATGTGTAAACAACTAAGCCATTGACAGACTGAAATCACCACAAACAGATGTGTGCCACTCCTCTGAGCGCCACAGCTCGAGTTGCGCGCGAACTGCGCTATCATCATGCACAGGGGAACGAGAAATAGCAAAAAAAGGAATGTTGGTAGATCTGGCTACATACTCGCTACATCCTCGCTGACCAACGCAGCTGCACAACGACTCACCAACAACATGCGTTTGATTAGCGAGCAAAACAACAAGCAAGGAACCAAATGCTGAATGGAACCACCTTGGCCGTTTGCTGATCACGTGACTCGTGATCAATTGGGTAGCCTTCTGAACTTCGTCGCTGACTGTCCGCGCTCGATTCCAGGCTTGATCAGCCCCCCCCCTCCACCAGGCAGAACGGAGATAGGCGAAAATCGATGAGCTGTCTTATGAGGTCGGTTCGTTTGATTAGCGAGCAAAACAACAAGCAAGGAACCAAATGCTGAATGGAACCATTTTGGCCGTTTGCTGATCACGTGACTCGTGATCAATTGGGTAGCCTTTTGAACTTCGTCGCTGACTGTCCGCGCTCGATTCCAGGCTTCATCAGCCCCCCTCCACCAGGCAGAACGGAGATAGGCGAAAATCGATGAGCTGCCTTATGGAGGTCGGTTGCATCATGTACCAGATTCAAGCATCTGACTAACAGTCGTAGTTGCTGCCAACAGAAGTCGACATGAGAAACAGCAACGATCGTACATCGAACGCTACGGAAGAGTTTGACTACTCATCAGAGTGGTAAACTCCACAGATTTTCGTTCCTCTAGGGATCCATCAATCGATTTCAGATCGCTGTCGAGAAACAACCCACCATTATCTCTGACAAAGTATGATCTCCCACAGTTACGTGCGCGTGTTGGAATGGTCACAAGGTTCACATTTCACTCTAGTTAACCTCTCAGTTGGTTCAATCCCTCACTCATAGTCTATAATTGTGTCCCTGTATTTCCGGTCGGATAATCAACGGTCCGGGTTTACCGTTGACATCTTTGTTAATCCTGTCGGTGTCTGGTGTGCACCGAAGAGCTTAGGGTCATAACCATAGAGTGAGTTTGTTGACACGTGGATTTATTTTTTCTACTTGCGCCCCTTTCATAGGTCATCCTTTGCAACATTTGGATGGACTGGAAAGTATCCCCTCCCTGAATGCTTCTTTGCTGGAACGCTATTGTGGTGAGTTTGCTCAAATGTGTTTGTGTTGAAAATCAGTTTGGATTGCATCCTTCACTTGATAACCTTGTACTGGGATTGAAGACATTCTATGCTTCAGTCTGCTGTAATCCCGGTTCAATTGCCAAGATATTCCGTCCAGTTCCCAACCGTAAACCCTGTACAAACATGTGTTGCCCCCCGTTTTCTTTGGATGTCGATTCTGTAAGCTTTAGATGATGTTCGATTGTTGAGGTCTATCGGGAAAAGGGAAGCATTCCGTCCAATAGCTCCCAATCTGGGTATTTTTCGGGTTGCAATTTTCTCGGAAGATGGGTTGAGTATTCCCCCTTTCGACCGTATTATCTTTGTTGCCGATTTTTTTCGAGGGTCACCTAAAACCTCGAACGATGAATTTCATTGTAATTAGGGAATATACACTCATTTGCAAACTAATTTGGTTTTTCGAGAGACTCACCTGGAACCCAGCTGAACCTCTCGCTTGTGATGTTCTCAGGCAACTGAATGTGCTGCACCAGGCCGCCTCATGCTTCAGTCTCTACGATATTCTAGATATCGCAATACATGTATATTCCGTAATGCACTACTCATAAGGNGCACTACTCATAAAGTTGCTGAAAATCCGTCGCCCTTTTTGGGGCTCCTCAGGTAGGCGCAGTCCTCGAGTTTCCGTCAACATTATGTTCATCCTTCTTCGGGCCTGTCACGTAGGTAGGAGAACGGGAAACGAGGAATCCAGGTGAATTTCAGCTGAGTCTCCTGTCAACATCAATCTAATTTGCAAATATGGCTGTCAGCTTGTTTCGAACAAAAATGTTTGTGGGAGCTAGACCAACAACATGGGTGCAGCCTGCAGTGAACTATACGTCATCATCATTAGCAAAGACACTGGTGCCGTACTCGCACAAACTTTGTTTGATTGTATTTAAAACCTTAGAATCAAAGGAAGAAAAAAGAGTGGGTGAGGGAGGGAGAAACCTGGTGCTTGCCTATCGCATAATTCTATAATGTCTACACCTCCAAGCATTCAATCAGATAATACGAAAAGAAACGGATAGCACGAACACCAAGGGGATCGGTTAGCCTCCTGCGAAGTGCAGGGAGAGCCCGTACCAGGACCGTACCAGCTACAAAGCACTTCGTAATCGCTTTTGCTGTAACACCCTTTCGGCACCTAGCTGCCATGCTACCAAAAGGAAGCACGAGGTTGCCCAAGCCTAGCCGGGGGATGTCGAGAGGCAGAGGTTGGATTCGAAGCACGGACCTTCCGAATAGTAGATCCGCGCCCTTACCACTTCAGCTATCTCGCCATCGCTTTCACACCCTTCGGCCAAGTCATATGTTATCCGCATCGTGGGGTTGCCCCGTTCCCAAGGAGGCACGGAGAACGACATTCACCTCGGTAGACGATGCACCGATTTAAGTAGAACCTGCCGGAGAATATGGCTACCACAGTTGCTGAGTGTTTTATGCAACTGCGGTATCTGATGCAAAAACAGATTCCCGTTTTATAGTCACCTGGTTACCAGTGCGTTGGAGTTATCCAGCATCGAAAACCTGAAAACAACTCACATCTCTGTTCAGAGGCTGTCTTTCAATTATACAACTATGCAGTGGACTATCACAGCAGCAGCGTCATGCAAAAAAGCGACCTAACGTTTTTTCCACCTGAAAGAACGCCTTGGGATTGTTGCTGATTTAACGAGGTTCTTAGAAAATCAAGTGACAAGAGATGCGGTGGTTTCGTCCCCCAAGGATAAAGGGATTTTCCTTCGGTGCAGTCAAGAAGTGTAAGGCTCTTAGAGACCGTCAATATCATGGTTATACTTTCGTAGGAGAATGATGAAGCCACATCATTATATCATGCACGTCCCCGTTCGTGCGCTCTTGGATCAAAATGTTGAACCTAGAGTGGATTGTTTTCTCCCGAATGTACCTCAAGCTTTTTGTTGCCAGGTGAATTAGATTTCTGTGTAAAATGAAAAAAATCGTTCAGCTGTATCACCCTTTCGGCGCCTACCTGCCATGCCATTCGAAGGAGGCATGAGGGCTGGGATACTGTCAGGTTGCCCAAGCCAAGACAGGGAAAGCCGAGAGGCAGAGGTCGGATTCGAACCATGGACCTTCCGGTCAGTAAATTCGCGCCCTAACCACTTCGGCCATCTCACACCCTGTGTAAAATGGTATACCAGGTAACCACTGCTTGGTCCTACTCCCGCATAAACTCCACTCTCTGGATTCATGAGGAGAAAACTAATCCTCTGCTGTAAATCACTTTCGCCTCCGATGGGTGTAACAGTGACCAGCAGATAACGATGGTTTTTCACGAAATTCAGGTCTGCTGGTTCGTCTTAGACCACGTGACGATGGATCAGGTGACGACCAGTCAGAAGGCAGTCGAAACGGTGAATGATCACCAAGAGCCGACTGATTTTTAGCCAGGAAGAAAATTGCACAGCACCCGCTTCAGTTATTGGGACTTCTTGTAAAACTGAGTTTTCAAAAAGGACCAAGCAGGGAGAGTGATATGCAATATACAAAAAAAACAGCAAATTATGCAAAGAACACTTGTTTGAGAATGAAGCTGGTGTTAACCAGATCTGTGCGAAGGCTGGCCGCAACAGTAAGTCTTCCGTCAAGCCATGAACGAAAACGACCGGTGCTTCACGGAAGGCATTTTTTCATCAAGCAGACGGGCTATTATGAATTGCATGCAAGGATTAGCAAACTTAGTGTGAAAGATGTTTGCCCGGCCGTCACTGTATGGTTTCAAAATCTAAATAGCGTTTCAAATTGATTGGGAAGCAACAGACCAAGCATTTTCCGCGTAAAACTGCCCATAACCCTGTACCAGGGCATCATAGAACATCACCTTCGGCAGTGTCACCATCTTCAACATGAATGAAAGACCTGCACTTGAATATTGCAAGATACCTTAAATAGAAACTAGTGTACAATGCTTTTGCTCGACGAACAAACCAAACTCGATTTGGGACACCGGATGGTGTTGACGACAGGTCCAGTATTCGGACAGTGTTATCATGACATATCCGGGCTCGAAATTAAACCTTGTTTCCAAAGTTCCCGATTCAACGGGATAAAATGTGGATATACACCAGGCGTCAGTTTTTTCCTTCCTGTAACCAACAAGAAAAACTGCACGAACCCATGAGGTTGGTAAGACCCACCACCCTCTGCTCGGAACGCGGGACAGTCACTGAAATAGACGAAGATAACACTTAAAAGACGACACGTGGGTGTTTAGTCAACAATGTTAGAGAGGAAAGCCAGGGTAAGGTTGTAGAGCTCTCAGGTGGTATAGATGGCTCGATATAGATACAGACTAGAAATCGGTCCGGATACAAACAGTTACCGATGGAGAAGCATCAACACGTGGCACATCAAACGCCAACAGTAAAAAGTACGTGAAAGGTTGCGGGCAAATACTAGCTAGCAAAAAGTAAGGTTGCAGGTAGATTGTTATGCAGCACCGATAGTCGTATTAACAATCTAATCACACGTAGATGGCATCCTAAAATGACAGTGGATAGAGCAGAACACTGCCTTCGAACATGGGGAAGATTGTTACAAGAGCCACCGCTACGACCTTTCGCGGCGAGTGGAATCGTTTGGCTTTTCCATTTGGCTACTAACAAATCTCAAGTAGTGTTCTGCGGTCGCAGGGCCTTCCTGATTCGCTTCTGCCCATGAAGCGCGATCGGCAGAGTAACAGGTTTATATCCATGAAGCGCTGTGGAAATATTCGTGCGGGTGACAGTCACAAAGTTGTACGACTTTTGCTCGACACTACACAGGCACGTGCAGGCTGCAGTACAACAAGATTGTCAGAATCGCCGGTTGATCTCATTCGTTCCTCCAGCCACGACGCATCTAGTAACCTTCTTGACAGCGGTATTTCCTGGTATAGGCATGCACCAACTCAGCTGCATTGAAAGCCATTCATAACATCATTATGGAGGGTGAGAGAGCTCGTCATGTTGTGATATGATTGGTTGTCCCCATGGTCTTTGGTAACGGAGTTTACACCAACCTTTGTGGTACCACCGTCATATCCCCACTCGCTCGCAAAGGGAACCAGCTCTGCAGGCTGTCTGGTGGCCGGGCCATGTTTCGCATGCCAGTTTACCGTCTTCCGACCACAGCGCATTGTTTTCCGTAGGTACTTCGGAGTGATGGGAACCTAGAGAGGGACAGAACATGACATGGTTGACGGGAATGAATGGTTTTCTGATTTCTTCGGGTGTAGTTGGCGCGGTTCGTCCTCCTGGGGTCCACGTGACTCTTTCTGCGTTCGGCTGGAGACATTGAACAATATGGCGGCTAACCGATGCCAGTAGTGTTATACTGTTAGTTTCTCTCAATATTATCTGACTGTATGTTGGATGTGTGGGTAGCCCCAGTATTAGGCTAGCCCTAGGTCCCCCTTCTATACCACTATTTTCTTCTTCCTTCCATTATGAGACGTTGGTGATCAGCTGTCTCAGTGAACTTTCGCAATCTGACCGATTAATTCATCACTCCACTCTCTTTGCTTTATGTAATTCAACTTGCTTAGGTTCTGCCTGATCAAGGTTTCGCTTTTCCCCACACGGTACTGCATTAGTTGGCTAGTTTTTCTCCTTGTGAGCTCACCACCTTCCGCTTCGTTTTTTACTGTCAGGTTCCGGCTTTCCGTTAACCGAACTTCATCTGAGACGAATAAACTTCTCCTGGATGGTTCAATCTACGACTCTACTGGCGCGTCTTCTCGCGAATACACCCACGCACACCTTGTTGTACCTTAGCTTCCCGCTGCGCAAAACGAATCCATCCCCTGACAGTGGCGAGTGCTCCACGACTTCGATACTTTCCCAACTGGGCCGCTTCCATCGTCTCCAGACGCTTGATTTAGGCGGTCAAATAAGCGAGGAATCTGAAGTGAGAATGCTCGAACAGATAGTTCCTCAACTGCCTGACCTCCACTACTTGGCTGTATCCAACTTACCGTAAGTTCACAGCGTTTCGAATTCAGTTTTTTCTTTTCCAACTTATAAAATTTCAATTCTATGGCCGGGTTGTGAACGATGAGACGCTAGACATTCGGTTCATTTTCCGGGCCAGCTAGTTCAGTTGCTTAGATTTCACCATCAGTGTGCCAACGAGAAGTTCTGCACTGCTTCGCCTCACGAAGTCGGCAACTAAAGTGACCAGCCCAGTGATCGAACTGTACAGTAGAGGCTATCTTTTCGCATTCTTACAAAACAGTTTTGTTCTCAAAATTGCCTTGCGTGCTTGATTCGTGTGAGCTCTCCACTTCAACTACGGAGAGAAAAGAACGGGTGATAAAAAACGATGAACTTTTAGGTCTGGGAAAGGTAAAAAAGTTTTGATGCCCAAGGTACATCTTGGTGACAAATGATCATGTTTTGTGGCGGGCCGTCAGCTTTAGCTCATATGTGCAAAGATATTTTCATTGCTTAATACTTACGTCACAGGCTGGCAATAATTTTGCAGGTCTGTCCCGTTCAGCGAATGTCTGTCGCAGATTTGCTGGTAAACTGAGTCTGAAAGACATCCGAATATGATTATCAGAATTCTTGAGAGAGACTATTGTGGAGGAAAAGGGGGTCCTGGTTCTCCCTTTCAAGGTCGCGCACCTGGCGGCGGCGGCGGCCGAGAGAGTTTCCACGTGTCAGTCGGTCACTGTCGCGGCGATTATCGTCTCCGAGAATGAACAGCACGACTCTTTCGTCTTACTTTCGGTGGTCAAATTATGGCAAACTATGTGTCAGATTTTTCTAATCACCGGCAGAACAGCGCAGCCACGTTTTCAGTGTCGCAAATCGGGAAAACAGTCGTCGTGGATTCTTGGACGGCAGGCCTTTTTCCAGTTCTCGTGTCTCTTAGGGCTATCGAACCGGTGAATTATCTGGACTTTGGTGACAGTGGTACCAGTTTCCGGCCCCAAAATACCTACTATTCCTCATTTGCTCGCATCACTTTGGAACTAGCATATCGATTACTCAACTCTCCGCGAGTAGTAATCGTTTTTCGCTGTTTTTCTCGCCTCACCACCCAGATCACATCTTGCCGGGGCGTTGAAGGAAGCTTGCGGACAACACTGTACAATACACCTTCAACATCTGCAGTGAATTAGTAATCCTTGTGATGTTCTTCTTGCTCCTTCCGCACAGATTTTCTACCTGTTTTTCGTTCTGTTAGTTTTATTTCGTGTTCCTTCGGGTTTTTTTCTTGACCACACGGGACTCGTATTGCATGCTCATAAGTTCAAGTTGTCTTTTTGGAAAAGTTCTTTTTTCAGAAAGAATTTGTTGCGTTTTACGTTTTACCCCCCTCCCCCCTAATCGGAAAAATACTTAACGGGTGCTTGGATATGGCTTGAAACGAATTCCCACGGATCTCTGCCTCTCAGTGAACCTCTGAACCGATGTCATTTTCTCACTGAAGCTGGTTACAAAAATTCGAGCTTATTACTCCTTCAGAGTGGGCGTTATCTGGGACGTTTCTGACCAATCCTAACTGGGAATTTGGTCAGTTGAAGGTGAAACCAGAGACATACTGCCTTATCTAGAATATCGCACCATCTGAAACGTGAGACTTCTTTCGTGCGAATGCGATAAACAGGTGATTTGTCTGGGATTCAGTTGAGTCTCCCGTCAAAATCAAATTTGTTTGAGGCTAAGACTGGTTGTCGAGTACTTCGTCAAATTGTGCAACCCAGGCGACCAAAAAACTTGGTATACAAACGGTTACTTTGTAACCTTCTCGCTCTCAGTTCTGACCGAGATTAGAATCTACAAAAGTGGCATTTCGAATCGTCTCTGATCCCCTAACGATACTCCGTTTTGTTTGAAGTATGCATTTTTCCTTAAATCCACATTCCATTATTTGTCATCGGTCCGATTCGTCCATTTCCAGTTATATTCGTTTACATCCTCTGCGAAAGCTGGCGTTTTTGTAGCTTATAACGACCCCAGCTAAATGAAAACAAACACCTGAACATATCTTGAATGCCGATTGTGGATGAGCTCTCTAACTTGATGTTACCATCACAGTGTCTGCTTACGGACGGATGCGACCATGGTAATTCAGGCGTGCGCTGAATTGCTTCTGCCTGCACAGAGCGGGAGCGCGTAATCTGATGGCAAATTTTTGAGAAGGAGAGATTTGGGTAGATCCGGCCGGTTTGGTAAATTACTCGTCATGTTGGGGTGTGTTCTTCAACTGCTGTCGCTGGTAGTTTTAGATGACAAATGGCGCTTTACTGCAAAACATGGTCACCCCGTCGTAAATCCAGCTCTGCGGCATCGCCGTGAAAGATGAACATGACCCAACCCTTGAAGGAAGAATCACCATCGAGTGATCAATTAGGAACGCGGGGCATCGATGGGGAACCCCCAGTCTCAGGCATTTTATAGTTTTTGCCCGTCACTGCGCAGATTAAGATGAAATCTTTAGTTCATGGGGTCTACACGCATTTCTTGAAGTACGACTCTAGAAAACCGTCTTCCATCGAGGCATTTTTATCACCTTGGACTCCTTTCGGGGCCCAGTGCTCTTGGAATCTCATACAATGTCTTGACTCATTTTACCGCATTTAAATGGCCCATTGTGACACATGACAAAGCCGACGCTAAGAAAGTGGAAACCACTGTTCAAACCTTACCTTACAGATTACTCGATTGACGGATGGATAAGGTTCATTCGGTTCACAATGGAATTGCCCCCATGGTGAACAACGTTCATTAACAGAGGTAGATCGAATCTATCGAGCAACGCATTTGACCGCAATCAAATTCTCCCCTAAATACATCAGTGAGCAGCATTCAGAAAGACGCATTCATTGTCATACCGTCAAACCTAGTAGAGTGGATTGAACTAACACGCCATTATACAGGTATTATGGGTGATAAAACAGGCCTGAAGACAGAACACTGACCGAACGGCTACCCCACCGACAGAACTACCAAGGAGGCACCCTCCGTTATGACGATGTACCTTAACTTTGTAGCTTATTCGCCGCACCTCTCTCTGACGGCACAACAGTTTGTCTCTGCCGATTCTATTATTGAGCTAATCGTGTGCTTTTTAACGTGGTCCGGTCATCAGTTTTGTCTAGTGGCACAAAGGATATTTTCGCAAATTGTGTAGGAGGCAAAAGATATTGAAAAGAGAGGTCCAGGTGTACACAGCATTGAGGGAAAGACACCGTCCCCAAGTGTGTTTTTTTCGTTCGCGCTATGTGTACTTGACAGCGTAAATCGTGATCTATCAAATCGTCTACTAATGTTGATTTCTTCCAGTTAATGAGAAAAAATCCACGCTGAAGATCTGGGGAGCGCTGTATAAATGTTTCGTCCTCATAGGTTTTCCACAGATCACATTTCACGAAAGTTCAGGGAGTTTCGAGTCCTTAAACGTCCAACCAAGAGCGGCTGAGCAACAGCATGATCACACTTGGACAGCTGAAAACGCCAGTCACTTGGTCACACGGGTTGACTGGCTCCTGGAGTGATGACTTCTCAGATGGTTGTCTCATTCATCATGTGAAATTATTCTTCCCCTGAGCTACTTATACATTGTTAGTAATGTGAAGAGACTAGAATTTTAATGGAGATTTCGTCCTGTAAGTCAAGGCAATCTACGCCACCCGGTAATCCATTCCTACTTTATGCACATGTACAGTGCAGGTAAGCCAAACCCAAAACGTGGTTCCCTTTCGTATTCTTGAACTTTCTCCATTAACTTCATCTTTAACCAGTTACAACACTTCACCCTCCCACTTCCCTTCCTGGTATCTTCAGGTAGTGTCTCAGCTAGACACCGAAAAAGATGTTATAGCTTAACGGTCATAACACATGTTATCCTTCGGTGGCATAGATGATCAAATTTTTCCAGACGCTTCAAGTCTTTGTATCGAATAAGCAATGTCTAAAAGCCAAACTCAAAGGCTTCTTTTGTAGCAATGGTCCTTGGACCTCGGAAAAATCTGTCCCTGCGGCAAAATGTGACGATGATCATCATCAACGTTAACGGTGACACCAGATGAGAGCACTGGTGCTTTATTGTTGTACAAACATGTCATATTGCCCGAATACAGTCTTACAAAGGAGAGATTAGTGAATATGTGACAGGTAGGGTGCTCTTATGCCAGCCCACTACCACTCAGCTAGGTTACCTAGATAGAAACTGATAGCATGAAAGCCTTGTTTGTCCAGGTCGATATTTTCCCGGCGTATGAAAAATTCGTTTGAGCGCTCGTCCGCACTTCTTGGGGCTTATCAGCGAGGAAGGATGTCACAACTGCGGGTTTAAGGGGGGTCTCCTGTGATGCCAATAGGTGTCAGTGGTCAGGTTCATTGCACATTACCGCGAACGTTCCACCTTTTCCTGTTTGGAGTGGAATACTCGGTAATTCGTCGCAGGAAGTCTGTCATAACTGCGGCTCAAGATAACGCGTCTTAGAGCTCGAGATAGTCCAGTGGTCAAGGCGAGATCTTATCGACAAGAAGGCCTCCGGTTGGAACCGAACCACTGCGTCTTGAATGCTCCTGTATAGAATTTGGTAACCTGGCAGTATCAGAGCCTTCCTGGTACCTTCAAGTAGTATCAGCTAGACACCGAAAAAGATGTTATAGCTGAACGGTCATAACACGTGTTATCCTTCGGTGGCATAGATGACCAAATTTTTCCAGACGCTTCAAGTCTTTGTATCGAATAAGCAATGTCTAAAAGCCAAACTCAAAGGCTTCTTTTGTAGCAATGGTCCTTGGACCTCGGAAAAATCTGTCCCTGCGGCAAAATGTGACGATGATCATCATCAACGTTAACGGTGACACCAGATGAGAGCACTGGTGCTTTATTGTTGTACAAACATGTCATATTGCCCGAATACAGTCTTACAAAGGAGAGATTAGTGAATATGTGACAGGTAGGGTGCTCTTATGCCAGCCCACTACCACTCAGCTAGGTTACCTAGATAGAAACTGATAGCATGAAAGCCACTGACACCCGCCACGTCTTTAAGTGTCTCTAGCCAAACACAGGGATGGTTATGTGGACCCCGTCTTGGAGAGCGAACAGCACCAACTTCCCCCCTCCACTTATCACACAGTTCTTCATTCCCGTCTGTTATGCCGAATTCTCTAGAAACTGATAGCATGAAAGCCACTGACACCGGGTAGCCGCCACGTCTTTAAATGTCCCCAGCCAAACACAGGGAGGGTTATATGGACCCCGTCCTGGAAACCGAACAGCACCCCCCACTTATCACACAATTCTTCATTCCCTTCCGTTATGCTGAATTCTGTCAACCCTAGGGTCTCGCTAGTCCGAATTAAGCACGATAAACATCTCTGTTCTCAGCATGTGCAACCCACACACACATGAGCCCACAATGTTGGATGTATTTTTAAAGTGGAATAGTATTTGCTTCGTCAGAGACCTGTTTCATGATTAACTCATTCCAAATGTGTAGATTCCAGCTAGAGTTTTGAGATGTCGTTGGTAAAAGACCTGATAATGTTCCAGGCCCTCACACCACAAGCTGTCAAATCATGCGGCTGTACAATACTGGAACAATGTAGCTCGCATAGTATGATCAAGGCTTTTGCAGAGAAGCTCATTGCCCTGAGATTTTAAAGGATAATGAAGCCCTAAATAGTGCACTTCGAAGGTGCAGAACGCATGCGCATCAATGCTGATATGCCCTGGATACATGTTCGCGCGAACATTTGTTTGTCAATGTTGTCCACTTAATCCAATCGTGCCAATCTCTCCAACAGGGAACACACCCCTCAAGCGGGTGTTTATATGTCCGCCGGGGACCCTCTGCCTTGAAGCGTTCACCGAGAGACGAAACTAACTCAGGTTCACCTTATCCTCCGTGCCAAGTCAGTAGTATCATAGTCGTTCAACAGATAATGATGACCGTATTTGACTCATCTTTTGATAATACGCAATTTAACTAGCAGCTAAGCTTTTGTAGATTTCCATCCTTAACAAGATCATCATTCCCCCGCTTTCAATCGTTGTGCTGATGAGCATCTGAAGGCACATTCTTATCGCCTCAGTTGTTTTTATGCAAGATAGTGGTTCCAGTCAAACACCTGGTGTTCTCCTAGTTGGTCGAACGGAACTCTCCCATTAATGAGCAGTGTATCGGTTGCTAATGGGCATTGCTTCAGGTCCTAATGAACTCACTCACCTGTCCATAGTGCAGAGGCAATCGGACACCTGGTTTTCACTCGATTCACTTGACCGAGGTTGTCGGAAAATGCCAATATATATCTAGAAAGGTGGCACACGCGTAGAAGTTCGGCGGGATTTCGGTACCACGACTCAATGAGCCGCCATGACTGGCCGATTTTTTTGGTGTTTTAGCTGGTCTGTCTTCTGTTACCAGGTACGTGCCGATGGTGCCCACTGAAGCACTGACGACTTTTTTCTGAGCACTTTTTTGGATGTACCTCATCCTGTTTTATCAGCCTGTACTTGTCCTGTTCGATTGCACGGATAAATTCAAACCGAACTGGATTCGGACTTCAGTTTGTTTTGCTGTCACTTCCTGGCTATGGGCTCAGGTATTTTGAAATACGAGGCCAGCAGATCACCACCAGTGTATGTTGGGACTCCTTAAGTGGGTTTCATAGAACTCACTGTGCCGCGGTCCACTGAAGACTGGCCCAATCCCACAAACTATGCAGAAGTTTCATACGATCACGCCGTCACTTGGCAGTCACTAAGTAGCAATGATTTTATGCCACACATTACTTCAATTCAAAGAACACAGTGTGTGGTCATTTCTAGCCGTTCTAAACCTCTTTAGGAAAGAAGACTCCACATCAAGTTTCATAGATCACCAACTAAGTGAGCAGCTGTTTTCACATCAGATGGGACAGTTTGAGTAAGTTTACCAAGGCCAGCTTCGAATATTCAAAGATAAAACCAGTCGCCCTGTTTGTGACTGAGGTGACTTCACAAAGAGCAGTCAACACTGGCCTGTTTCCTGAGGCAGCCTCTGTTTCGCATTACTGAGTGGCTATTGGATAAGTTTGTTGGGACCTCTCCGTGGAGAGACCGTTTTTCTGGCAAGAGATCAATGGATACGAAACGTCTGTCGGGTGAACACGGTGCGGCAGAGAAGATGCTTTTTGAATTAACAGGTTTGTTACGACGACAGGATCAAAAACGTTTTGAATTGTCAGAGGCATCTTATCTCTGTGGAGACTTGCGCACAGTCTACCCCCTGGGGGCATGCGAACAAATTCGTCATCGAAAGCAGTACACCACATACACACACCGGGGTTGAAAATCTTTTGAGTGCATGCAGCGGGATTACCGCTTGGTAAGCCCGGAACAAAGCGACATTGTCACCCACCAATATTTATCTCCAAATATCGTGCGAAATGAGAACTAACGGGTTCCCAAGAAGGATGAAACAGCTGTACGGCGCCTCGTTCTTTCAGCATAGATTCGCTCCATTGGCAAGGCGAAATCTCCATTGAAAACTGGATTCATATGGACTCACAAGGTTGCCGAAAACTCTTCGACAGCCCACGACCGGATTCGCCCTTCTTGAAGCTCATCAGCTAGACGCAGTCGCCGTGTTTTTGTCAAAAATTGGGGACGTTCTATTCATTGAGAAAACATGGATATGGCAAACCAGCTTCGCACAATCCATGCTTGGATTTCTCAGTGGTCAACACGCAAAATTAATTAACCAGAAAATTCGTGGTTCAAACGCAACTCCGGGATCTAGACTGCTCTTGTCTAGGCTAGGGCAACCTGACAGTATCCCAGCCCTTGTGCTTCCTCTGGATAGCCTATCAGCTGAGCACCAAAAGGATGTTACAACTGAAAGACCACTAGTCATGCTCTCTTCAATCCCAAATCAACCGAGTATTCCGGACACAGTATCCCAGCCCTTGTGCTTCCTTTGGACACCATATCAGCTAGGCACCAAAAGGAGGTTACAACTGAAAGACTACTAGTCCTGCTTTCTTCAACCTCAAATCAACCGAATATTCCGGAGCGAGCCATCAGTACCTGTGCCGTAAATTACTGCTAGGTATTGGCTTTATTTTGCCGCCCGCTTGAAACCCTACACAGTCCCAATGATATTAAGCCTTACATCGACAAAAACGCTCATGTGCAAATCAATTTGTTTTTCATTGTTCCCATCCAAAGAGGAACTAGCATCAAAACGAATCGATTTTGTGTGGTCAAGTGAGGATTCCCCCTTCCTGAGGAGAAGTCCCTCCTAGAAGAGGCCATTTGTAGTTTAATTTTCTTCAGAGAGAAAAGCTTAGTTTAGTAGAGTTTTAATCAGAAAAAAACATTTTTTCTTGAAACTGGTAAATTGTAATAGACGATGAAGGATAAGTCAGATTATCTGATTGCTTTTGGACAGTGGAATAATCTACGCCTGAAAAAAAACGACCAGCTGAATTTCTTGCAGTCATTTTTGGAACCTCATCACAGGATTACAGACTGTTAATGAAACTCAGTGGCTTAAGCATACTGAAGACGATGACACATTGATAATTGTCTTTTGGAATAAGGAAATGATGAGTCTGTCGCTAAGTCAACTACACATGCGACTAAAGGTTATCAGAGAAGCGATAAACTTGGATCCATGCATCAAAAGTCGATTTGTGAAACAACCTGTCATCAAGTTCAGTGTTGAATTCTGCTGTGCATTTTCTTAATTTGGTCGGGATGGAATTCATGACATTCGAAAATGGTAATCAGGGAATTCCCTGGTTGAAGTGCAACCCAGTCGGATCCACCTTGGTGGAACTCTTAAGGTTGTATAGGGAATTCCAAAGGGATAACTTAAGAGACTTCTGCTCTCCTTTCCTTTTTTGGAGAAGCTAAGCATTATTGATTGTTTCGAGATGGATCGTTATAGTTACGTAAAAGGAAATACACAAGGTTGCTAAAAAAACTCTTCGACAGTCCAGGACCGGTTCGGCCCTTCTTGGGGCTCAGCAGGTAGGCGCAGTTTTTTCTACCTGAACTCAAATTGGAATTAACCTTGTTTGTAAGAATCTCGGGAGTGAATTTCGCCCAACACACTTGATGCACAGTGCAAGCATAAACTTCACAATTTTTTAAATGGGTTTCCTTTTTTATACATCAGTATAAAGGTTACCGTGCATAGCCTTGCTAATCTCGGACCACTTCCTAGTATCGATCTTGTCATGGATGTTTCTAGAGGGGTTCAGCTTTGGGAAATTGTTTTTCTTGTCAAAGCTCAAATCGAGATCTCAAAAGATTTGCGGTAAATATTCTAGCAGACAGTTTGCAAATAATTTTCCCGAACAACAAAAACGCCTTTTTATGGTAGCTTCCTGTCCAAGGTAATGGTTTTCCACTTCGCGTGAGAACTTGATCTCGAAAGACGACGGTTGTAATTTTATCTGCACGAATTAGTAAAAAATTCACTAAGAACGAGACTTTGGTCATCTGCTAACGAAACCGGCAAAGTTTTGAATGAATTTGAAATTTCACTCACAAATCTGAGTAAGCGTACTATGACCAAAACGAATCGCTAAAAAATAAATCTGATATGGAGAAAATGCTATCACAATTTCAAGCGAAGTTCTTCGTTACGATGAAGGTTAACTATAACGAAATTGATTAAAATACCCTGAGTGAGTCGGTCACTACCGATGTTTGGTGAGAACGAGGCCTTTTTGAGTCCATTGCACCAAGATAACCGTATGTACTTCAGCTGGGTGCAAAACTGAGAGTGGTGGCGGTAGTGGAAAGAAACCAGGCTCAAGCGCGATTGCATCACATTTGGCCGAAACTGGTCATGTCATGGACAAGGAACAAGCTTTCACCATCATATGCCGGGTACCTCTGAACGGACCACGACTGGTAAGATCCAGACTACTATCGATCGCAGAGGCGATTGGAATCCGACTGCTGGATCCGCAACTTTGCATCCAAAAGAAACTTGTGCGACCTCTGAACTTGAACTGGCCTACGAAACATCCGGTCCCACAGGTGTGTCTGACATTGACGTCACTTACCTGATTCCGTGACCCATTGACCTATGCCTCATCCAACCCCCTCTTCCTTTGATTTCTATTTCTCTAAATTGTATGTAGCCCCGATCTTAACCTTTTCCACATGATTTCTGCTACCATATAAATTTGTGATGTACTAGCCAAGATGAACAATCACAGGAAACAAGTTTTGTTCGCTAGCTTCTTCGTTCTCAAAACTGAGATAGGAATATAAGTATGATTCATAATGCAGATGAATTTTCGCCAGATGGACACACTACTACAGTAGTCTGTCGGAGTTTCTCTGACTTCGGTTAATTCAGTAGTATCTAGTTTGTTGGTAGAGCTGCTTGGGTCTGTGCTGCTGTCAGTAAGGGCTTTCCAATTGGAGACAAAGCGTGTGCAAGCCAGTTTTCAAGCTCGGTTCTTGGAATAGCCAAGGATAATGTTAAGATAATGTTAGGATAATGTTAAAACGAGGTGATCATCTAGTCTCGATGAAAAGTCGTTGAACATAACGACTTAGATTATGACCATTGCTCTAGAAAGTACACAAACGACCCCCTCTCTTGAAGAAAGGTTCCTAAAAGAGAGGTCTAACTATCACTTTTCCATGTGATTTAGTTTGCGAGTATCACTTGATAGACCGGCAAAATACTGCCAACCATACAGAATTCGGATGACATGATCCACCGGCAAGGCCATCTGAAGGAAGCTCAAGGACTGAGATGCTTCCAGCTTGCCAGAGCGCAGAGGGAAGCAGTCGAGATGCCGAGGTTGGGCTCGAATCTCGGAACTTCCAGTCAGTTAGTTCGCGCCTTAACGATCGAGCTATCTCGAGCAAAGCATATTTCGACGTCGAATTGTTTTCTCTCGAAAAGGTAGGCGACCAACGGAGGTTCCCCTTAGAGCCAATGTGGAAAACAGCTGATTGTTCAATAATTGACCTGTTGCTTCATACAAACGTAGTCGCAATCGACAAAATCTTGCTAATATCACCGGACAAACTGCGCAGTTTTGCCGGAACGGGAACCAGGATTCGTGTGCCAAGCGGATTGCCTTCATCATCCACCAGAACAATGTTATTGGACTCGAAACGTGGCCATCCATCTCTGGACTGCTGACGAGTACCGACAATCCAGCCTTTCTTTTTCTGCCCTCCAACAGCAACCAAAACCTTGTCACCTGTTGAGGTAAAGAGGAGAGAAAAAACGGAAGAGGTAATGCAATCTGAACAGAGAACGTTAGTACTACTTAGGCTAGATGAACAGTGGAGTAACACTCAGCAAATGAAGTAAGCACTTACTTCAATCTCTCGTCTTTTCCTAACCGTGTTGGATCTATGCTCAAAATTTCGAAAAGAAACTGAGTTCGAGCATTGGAGTGTGAGCCATTTATTAAGCCTTTCCTGTTAGGCGGATTCCCTCATCAAAACCTATTTACTGTTCGTAGTGAGGCCCTGTTACGGCCAAGAAGCCTAACCCGCACGCGATTGGCCAGAAGATCGGGCTGATTGCCGGTCAAGCAATCTGACCCGTCAGCCAATCATGGTTCAATATCCGCTGAATGGCGATTGCCAATGATGCGTCCAGAAGGCCTCGGAATTTCCAGAATGTTGTCGCCTAATACACTCCAAATACAACGCGCTGCACGTGTTTTCGATCTGGTTTTGGGCGTTCAATACGCATTATGCACTTTTGGTGGTCTTTTTTTCCCAAAACGCTAGCTTGGAAGGTCCCGATCGACTGCAGCCCGGTAACCATCAGCTGCAACCTAAGACGACAGGTTTCAATCAACTTGTCTATGGCGACGTGCCAACTTAGGGGATCCTTCAACATTCCTGCAACATTCCAGTCATTAGCCTGCTGAGCTAAGAAAACCATCGCACGTAATGAAGTCCAGTGAATTCACGCCGGGTGCTCATCACTAATCCGATAGATCATCTTACGCTAATTTCTGGGAAATTTCTGAAGATTAGAGTTCTAAATCACTGAGAAACATACACGCAGCTCCTCAAGCTGGAAGAAAACTTCATCGGTCCTGTGTGATGTGTTTGAGGTGCGTTTTTTTCACTTTGGACAACCGGTATTCACCAGTACAGGACATGTGGTGAACTTTTGCAGTGAAGCAAGGAACAACTCAAGAGGATCACACCCTAAATCCTACCGAATGGTCGCGTCGTTATGTTCCTTCTATGGAACCCGTGTTTTTAGATTGAGAAGCTATTGAGGTTAAACGCAGCCGGTTCTTCTGATCAGTACACATCAAAAGTTTACAAAACTAAGAAAACGATCCAGACAAGTGGACAAAGTGAAGTAGGATACTACTTACATCACGTCTGCGTACCCAGCGGTCATGTGTCAGACTGTCGAGTTTTAAGTGTGCGTAGGCCAAACCTACGAAAACCAGCCGGGCAAGAAGCTTTCTAAGTCTTCATTTCGAAATGGAACTGACTACAGACTAGCTGACTCAGCGTCTGTATCACACGGCAATTTTACTCAGCTGATACCTGTGAAAGGAAGAAGGCCTTCGCTGCGGAGTTATTTATTAGAAAATGGCAACTGACAGGTTATAGACTATTGGACTGTTAAGCAAAACTCTCATTTGCATCTTATTCATAGAAACTGGACATCCATCTTCTCTTGAACACGTCTTCTTGAACTTTCCTGGATGTTCATTGACTCCAATCATTCATTGCTCAAATCCAAGCAAGTGTTACAAAGCGACTCCACAAATTCCGCAAGATATCTCCCCTTTTCAAGAGACGCAAAGCGAAATTCCAAGAACAACACATACTACTCGCATGCATCCCCATCAGTAGTATCACCGTTACACCTGTAGATTCGTGATTAAAGCAAGGCGGTTCGCTCCTCGACAGTAGTACGACACGGCAGCTAGAGAAAAAAGTAGTAGTAACTCGCATGCATCCCCATCAGTGGTATCACCGTTACCCGTGTAGATTCGTGATTAAAGCAAAGCGGTTCGCTTCTCGACAGGGCAGAGTAGGTGGGGCGTACGACAAGGTAGCTAGACAAAAAAGTAGTAGGGTAATCTGCTTTGACTGGCTGCCAATCTGACATGTTTAGCCTCGTCGGAGGTAGCTGCGAATAATCCGTACAACGGGCGCGATGAGACTATCAGTTTCCAAACACGTGACCGTTTCTTACAAAGGATTGTGATCTGACTAGTCTGCATCCACAGACTTCTTTCGACCTTGATTGTCAATAATATTTGTGAACTCCTGGCTCGGACTGACCAGAAAAGGTCGCGAAAACACCCGCCAAATTTATTTTTGAAAAAAAATATTGAAGAAACTTTATCGATTGTTCAATATCAGTTACCTATTTTCCCTTTATTGTTGTGGGTGTACACACGGATGCAGAGAGCCGGTTTCGAAGAAAGCGATTTGTTCAACGACATGAGCATGCTCTGAACATCCCCGCCAGATTGAGATGTGCCAGATCGGGAGTCTGTCTTAACATTTGGTTGTCGCTTCTTCGCATCCCCGATGGCTGGCGCGATGTTGCTCCATGCGCTATTGTCAACAACACGTAATCTAGTCTGTGGAGCGACGAAGCACAATGGACCATGGCCGACGTTCACCGATGTCCTTGTGGAGTAGATGAGGGACGGAAATAAGGACTATATTATCAAGCGCTAAAATCAACAACATAGTTGGGTAAAAACTATTTTTAAAAAAATAAAAATTAATCGTTTAGCTGTAACACCCTTTCGGTGCCTAGCTGCCACGCCACCCGAAGGGAACACGAGGGCTGGGATACTGCCAGGCTGCCCAAGTCTAGACAGGAGAAGTCAATGAGAGGCGGAGGTTGGGTTCGAACCACGGACCTCCCGGTCAGTAAATTCGCTCTCTAACCACTGAGTCATCTCTATAAGTATCCAAACGAAAGTTGATTCCCAGCAAGACCTTTGGAGAATCACCTAAACAACTGAAGAGAATGTTGATGAGTCAGGGTGATGGCCGTTGGAATGTTGGCTGAACTGGGCGATCTGGTGGAAGACAGTTCATCACCAGTCGAGGTGATAACATCAGTGCGTTTTTTGGAAGTATACTTACCCAGTCTAATACAGTTTGAACGCACTCAGCGCACACCAAATCACATTCTGCTTCTCAATCGGATAGAATATGAACTAGGCGGCGTCTGCATAATCAATATTTCGAGGGTCTTCCTGGAGAAGAAAGCTTATGCTAGGGACAGTAGGCACAGAAACAACTTCTCCGGTAATTGAGTTGATTACGAAATCGAACAAAAGATTGATAGTGGTCAGCCCCGACGGATACTTTTGTCTGACGAACTCGCTTTACAGGTATTCGATGACAAGGGTGGGATAAGTGTAAGGATATGTTGGGAATACCTTTGAAGAAGAGAGGAATCCGGACCTCCCGGTCAGTACATTCATCTCGAAAGTAATTTTTTGGACACAAGACGGCGAGATTTGGCCTTATGACTGTGTGGCGCCATCAGAAAAAATTTGATCAATGAATGCACAACCCACACTGGTTGATTTTCACGACTCACACTTGCGAGAGTGGTGACGGCGCTGCATAGGATGATCGCCGTTTAGAGGTTAGAAGCGACGGTGATCAAACTGAAAGGTCAATGGCTCGCACAATAAGATCTTGTAAGTCTCTGAAGATGGACACGCGTGTCCTCTCTCCTTCAAGAACCCTTGCCGGGGTTTTTAAAAGTGCGAACGAACTTTTCTCCCTCCTCTGATGAAATCTAGTGAGAAACGTGATCGGTTGATCATTACGCAGTTGCCGGAGACTAGATGAGTTGTTCTCCGAAATGTCACACCCGTCGTTGAAGTGGATGACAGGATTTGGGAGCTAACGGACCGGGAGTTTATTTTTTCATTTTTCTACACTTCTGCTCAATTGACAGAAGTAAAAAGGGACGTAAAGTACTGACTGTCACTGAGACAAATCGAGTTGGGACTGATAAAATGAACTAGGTTGTCCACGGGTCCGAGGCTGCATGAGTAGTGTTGCCCAGACCGAAGAATGAGACTTGTCTGAAGTAACCCACTCCAAGTCTTTGGCTCGAGCGCCCAGCGCACAAGGCAGTGAGAAAAGGGCTGAGTTTTATTCTGGAACCTTAGCCGTAGCTTTCGACAAAATTAACATCATCATCAACAGCATGACATTAATGTTTAACACCGATGCTTCACTGCCGTACAACCATGACTTATTTGAAAGTCTTATTGTAAAGAAAAGAATAAAGGTAGACGGGGAAGGGACTTAGTGCTAGCTTACCACAATCATTCCGAGGTGCCTACACCTCCGGACATTCACTCAGGCAATCTGGACAGAAACTGACAACAGGGACGCCACTGACATCGGTTGGCAGCCACATCTTGTAGTGTCTCCAACCAGGCACAGTGAGCATCACGCGGTCCCCATCCTG